ACCTTGATTAAATTTCTTTCTGCAACCCCTTGGGTATAGTCATTCCTTTCTTCAGCTCTTTGTATTGCTTCCAGAACTCTCTGAAGGGCTGGTTTTGTGGACATGAATTCCTTCAGCCTATTTATGTCATGGAAGATTTTTCTTTCCCCTTCGACTATAATAGACATTTTGGCTGGGTATAGTAATCTGAGTTCTCATCTGTGGTCATTTAAAACTGGGAAGACTTTGGTCTAGTCACTTTGGGCTTTCATATTTTGCACTGAAAAGTCAGCTGTAATCCTAATGGGTTTTCCTTATATGTGACTTGTTGTTTCTCTTTTGCAGCTTTCAGAATTTTCTCTTTGTTTTGTGCGTGTAGTGTTTTTACTACGAGGTGCCGTGGAGAGTTTCTGTTCTGGTCCTCTGTTTGGTGTTCCGTATGCTTCTTGTATTTGTATGGGCATGTCTTTCTTTAAGTTTTGGAAATTTTCTTCCACAATTCTGTTGAAGATCTGGTCCATGCCATTGTCTTGGGATTCTTCTCCTTCTTGTATGCCTATGATTCGCAAGTTTGGTCTTTTTATGGTATCACTCAATTCCTGCATATTCCATTCTTGTGATTTCTTAAATTTTTCATAATCTTTGCTTGAGTGGTCCAGTTCATCCACTTTATCTTCCAATCTTGATACTCTGTTTTCCATTTCGTTCATCCTATATTCTGTTTTCCATTTCATTCATCCTATTGGTGAGACTTTCTCCTGTCGTTTCTAATTCACTTACTGAGTGTTTCACTTCTTTCTAATCTCAGCCTGAGTTGTCTTCAATATTTCTAGCTCTTCTGAATTCATTCAGAAGTTTATCCCTATCTTCCTTCAGTTCTTTGATTTCTTTGTGTGTTCTTTAAATTCAGTGAATTCTTTTACCATGTTTTTTAATTGTTCTTTTGAACATTGGGTGCAATGTCCTGTATTATCTCTAGGGGGTTCTCATTGTACTCCTCTAGATCACTATTGGTATTTGGTGGTGATATGTTATTTTGGTTTTTCATGTTATTATTTTTTCTCTGTGATTTTGACATGAATTTCTTTTGTAGTTTCTGATTCTTGTGTGAGACTCAAGCCTTCAAGTTTAGGTCTGCTTCTTTTTGTGAACTTTATGTGTCTTTGTGGTTTACTTTTTGGGCATGAAAAGCTGGCTCCTCTAAGCTTCCAGTTCTCTCTTTTGGAGTGGCCAGATTGCTTTTGTCTTCAGGAGTTCCCACAGAGGCCCAAGTCAGATGAGAATCTGTTGCTTTCGGGCTTTGTAGTAAGGTCTGGATCCCTCCAGGAAAGATGTTGTCCTCAGGAATTTGCGGGTTGGAACTGCCTGGGAGCATGGCCCAGGAAAAATGCTGGTCTAGGGCAGCTGGTGGCTGTGCCACCCAGATATGCAAAGGAAGATGGGGGTGGGAAGCAGTCCCAAGGGCTCTTGGGGACTGCACTGAGGAACTGAGTTGGTCTGGAAGCAAAGGATCAGGAAGCCAAGAGGTCAGCCCTGGTGTCCAAGAACAAGGCTGGTGGGTTGTGCAGCTCAGGGAAACAGAGGGAGGTGGGGGGGGACCAGGCCTAGAGAGCTCCTTGGGACTGCAAGAAGGAACTGTGTTGGTCTGGATGCAAAGGATCAGGAAGCAGTGGTGGTTCCCCTGGTGTTGGGGGTGCCAAGGCAAGGAATGGGACCGTGCTCAGGCTAGGAGGAGAGATGGGAGGGTGAATGAGGCCGGGGGAGTCAAGGTGCAGAGGGCCCTATGGACTTACCCAGGAGAGAGGTTGGTGGGTTGTGCATGTCCAGGGAAGCAGAGGGAAGGGCGGGTGGGACCAATCCCAGAGGGCTCCTGGGGACCCGGAGAAGGACCTGGGTTCGTCTAGATGCAAGGGATCAGGAAGTAATGGTGTTTTTGGGCAGAGACGTCAGCCCTAGTGTCCAGGAAAGAGGCTGGTTGCTTGTGCAGCCCAAGGAAGCATAGGGAGGTGAGGGCGAGGTCCATCTTGAAAGTTTATAGGTGCTTTTAAGAATGTGAAAGTATGTAATCTTCTTGTAAAAGAGTTTTTATCTGGATATTAAACTGCTTTGGTAGAGTTCCACGTTAGATTTTGAAGTTGTTCGTAAGTGATTAAACTCTAATGAAAAATGATGAAGAAGGCCAGATAGTTGACTCAGCACTTAAAGTTGACTGGCACTGAACCTGGTGAGGTCATTCCCTGGAATCTATAAAATGGAAGAAGAGAACTGATTTCCATAAGCTCCTGTTGACCTCCACATGTGTACCCACACACAGACACACAAGACACACACACACACACACACACACACACACACACACACACACACACACACACACACCAAAAAAGTTATAAGGAGAAATGATACATAGCAAATGATGTTTTTAGAGGTTTCATTGAAATATTCGAATGTACTTAAACTCTTTTATGTATCTGAGCACTTAATTTGCTTTCTGTGTTTTCTCCTTTACCTTCACAGATGGAAGAAGCGCCCTCAGAGTCGGAGAAACTTTACTCATTTTATGATCTGGAATCAAGTAATCATCTTAAAGTTAAATCTGTCATTTGTTTGCTGAACTTCTCTATCTCCCATTTCTTCCCCTCCCTTCGTTTCCCTTTCCCTCCTCCCCAGAGATTTCTTCTAGAGCCTCACTCATGCTGAGCACCTCTGACTAGCCCCCAAATGCTTTAATATTAACTTTGCTTTTTTGTTTATTATATGAAATAAACCTAAAGAACAATTTTTGTTTTTACAAACAATTGACATATAACATTTGTTTAGTAGATCTCAGGGTAGATTGGATCATATAGGAATTTAAAAGATATAAGTGGAGTAGTGTAATTGACACTTACAGATGGAACCATGTGGTAGTGGGGGCTTGGCACAGTTAATTATTACTAAATACTGCTAAGAATGTTAGCTTTGTGAATTTTCTGTAAATCTTTACTGGAAGCACTGTATACTTTTTTTTTTCTATGAATAAATTAAACTGCCTGGAAGGGAATAGAAAGTTCAGGCCTTCGAATGGTGGTAGACAGATCCTTCCCTTATTCCTGGCATCCTAGAGCAGGGATCAGCCAAGCAGTCCCTTTTTTGGCACCTGTCTGGACTGTACTTATCCAAGAGGGGCTGGTTTTGACATTTCATGATCACTCTGAAAACACTTCAGCTACAAAGTTGACTACAACTGAAGCCAAGGTTCCAGCTTCAGAAGGCCTTGCTCTGGTAACATCTACTGCACACCACCTGCACTGACATTGTAGGCAGGATCCTGAGGCATGCCTTGGGCAACTTTAACTGGCCCTGCAGCTTTTCTCACTGAAGATGGGAGTGGGAGCACTTCTTTGTTAACTCAGAAAGAAGTTATTTGGTTAGTTGTAACAAAAGCTGTTCCTCGATGCAAATGCCTTTGCATGCCTTTTCACCCCTGTCACCAGGATGTTTAGCTACTTTTCAAGTCAGCTTGAAGATGCCTTCCTTTGCTGCTCCTGGTGTTGTACCATTAAGCCCAATAAAAGATGTATAGACTTTCCTTGCCTACCTGTACTTCTAGCATAAGTAGAGTGGGCTGAGCTGGTAACACGAGGTAGTGGAGGTAGTGGAGCAGCAGCTGCAGAGTAACTGGCACAGACGTGATAGTGAGCAAAGGCAGCAGAGTTGATGAAGAAGTCAAGAAGGCAGAAGATAGTGGGCAAGAGACTGGGGTTCTTGACCAGGTCAAGAGTTTCCTAGAAGTTGCTAAGTCTTGAAGATAGAAGCTCCCTACATCTAACATACTTGTTTGCTGCAACGCTAGCAGCTATAAACACATAGGCTTCTGACACTCCAGGATCAGGAACTGTCATACTAGCTGATCCTGACTGCTGTCAGTTGCTGCTGACACTAGATGTTGCTTTAGAGCTAAGGCTTTTACTAGCCATCTAGTGCTGGGTGCATAGCAGTTGTAGTCCAGAGCAGTAAGCCTCTGACTTGAGTACCTAGTGCTATAAGTTCTTCGATTCTAAGACCTGGATTCATATACATTTAGTTCTTAAGGACTGAAACTATAAGCTTTTGAGTCCATCGGCCCACTCAGGTGAATACTTGTGATTTCCATTTGAGCAGAGCAAAAGGGTCTCAGTCACTTTGTTAGTAACATAATCCAGGTGACAAACTTTTTCTTTTGTTTCTCTCTTCCTTTTGCCCCCTTCTTCCCTTTCTTGGTTTCCTTTCCATGTTAGTGAAAAGTGATATAGTGGACAGGGCAGTTCTAGGGAGATTTAGTATAACGATTCCTTTAGATATTAAGGAAAGTTGAAGGTACAGATGACTTAGGCTCTGTGACAGTATTGAACATTGTTCTGTGTGGCCGTAGCGGTGGCCAGCTACCAGAGATGACTTACAGGCTCTCCAGATGTGAGTTCCAAGCGTAGCCAGGCTTATTTTGCTCTTGTATAATATCAGGCCCTCTTCATTAAGGCTGTAAGTGGTTCCAATCCAAAACCAGCTAGAATTCATAGAGTGCATTTTTTATATACAGTTGATCACTTTGGTTGGAGACAAATAAGATGATAACCTATAGATTTATGATTTTAGAATCCTAAGTGCCAAAGGCAATAAATTACTATTTAAGAACTCGTGGGGTTAATTATTCTGTTGAACTAGTAATTTAACGAAAACATGTAGCCCTGACATGGGAAAGAGAGTTAGTTCAACTTGATGTGTCTTTTCAAGTTTTAATAGAGAACTAATTAATCATTTTTCCTTGTTGTACTGCTAGGTAATTAACATCTTTTATAGTGAATTTTACTGTTAACATTAGCCCTGCTCAGTAGCACTGTCATTACATTGCCTTAAGTGAAATGCTCTCAAATGTTATTAATTTTGTGGTACGCTCTTAATCTTAATATGCTGTTTGTAGTAAAATAAAACAGACACTTTTTTCTTTTTTCTTTTTCTTTTTTTTTTGGTCTTTTTGAGATAGGGTCTCCCTGTAGGCCCAGCTGGCTCGGAACTCACTATGTAGACCAGGCTGGCCTTGAACTCACAGAGATCCACCTGCCTCTGCCTCCAGAGTGCTGGGATTAAAGGTGTGCACCACCATGTGTGGCTTCAAACAGAATTTTAAGGAGGTCATATTGGCTTTAGAATAATTTCTTTTGTGTTTTTTAAGAAAAATTTAATTGATATATGGTTTACAAATTTATGGAATCCAGTACAGTGACTCAATAATGTATATAATATGTGATGATGAAATCAGGGTAATTAGCATTTCCATTTTCCACGGTTCCTTTAGCCAGGTGCAGTGGCTTTTGCCACTTTTTCCAGCACTTGGGAGGCAGAGGCTGGCAGATCTCTGTGAGATTGAGGCCAACCTGGTCTACGTAGCGAAGTCCAGGCTGGATAGGGCTACAGGGGACCCTTTATCAAAAAAAGCTTAAAAAAGTATCATTTGTTTGTATTAGGTACCCTTTGAAAGCTGAAGGCTTTCAGTATAATAATAAAATATAGGTATACAATAAATAATGATTGAATCAGAGTAATTGTCTTTTCCGTTTCAAAAATTTATTATTATTTCTAGATGTTGGGAAACTTTTTGACTATTTTTGCCTACTTAGCACCTAAATCTCTATGCCACGTCCTCCTTTTGCCAGTTACTATTATCAATTCCTCCTAGCCACTTCTGTTCCCCTTATTTAACTTCTGTCTCCTCTTTTTCTGTTCTTCCTTACCTCTAATGACCACTATTTTTCTGTTTTCTTAGATTCACTTTTGTCCTGATTAGCCTTACTTTTCAATTTGACATCTGAGAAGAGAGATCTCAACTGAGTAGTTGTTTATATCAAGTTGGTCTGTGGGCATGTTTGTAAGGGGTTGTTTTGATTGTTAGTTGGTATAGAAGGGCCCAACCCACTGTGAGGGGCACTGTTTCTGGAGCAGGTGGTCCTGGGCTATCTAAGAAGGCTAGGTAAGCATGAGCCGGCCACAGAGACAGTAAGCAAGCAGCAGTCCTCCAGGCTTTCTGCTTCAGGTTGTCTTGAATTCCTTCCCTGACTTCTTTCAATGATAGACTATAACCTGGAAATGCAAGCCAAGCCAAATAAACCCTTTCCTCCCCTAAGTTATTTTTGATCAGAATGTTTTATCACAGCAGTACAAAGGAGACTAGAGTTTTGTTTTAACTTCCTTGAGTGAATAAGCATGTGTGATATTTGTCTTTCTGTGCCTGGCTTACTTCACTTAACGTCATGTTCTCCAGTTCTATATGCTTAATTGAAAATCACAGGATTTCATCATTTTTTTAAATACCTGGATAATATTTCATTGTGTATCTGTACCATATTTTTCTTATCTTCATCCACTGATAGATATATAAGTTGATTCCATATCATGAGTATTGTACATAGTGCTGCAGTAAACATGGATAGATTGATACCTTTTGGATATGATATTGTTCTCCAAAATAACTGCATACCACGGTGTATGAATTCTTCTTTCTCTGCATCTTTTCCAGGATTTATTGAAAGCTTTTGAAAAAGTCATTTGGAAGCCTTCTTAAAACATGTGGATATACATATATAATAGAGTTACCCTATAAAGCGGGAGGGGTGGGGTAGTTCAATGACTCTATTAGACACCACAGGCAAGCAGATAAAAAAGTCCAGTTCCAGAAATTGGCTACCATCTATGGAGTTGTTGCCCAGTGAGGTCTCATAGACCACTAGACATTACAGGCTATTGCCATTGCTCTTGTTTACCCTCCAGAACCTGATGATAAGACCCTATTGCTGAAGACACCATGTATTTAAGTCATAGAACATGGAGAAATCGAGCTGGTACTGACCTAGAAATTTCAACCTTAGTGGCTAGCTTTCGTGATGCTGGAAGGTGCAATGCATGCTATCAGACAAGAAAAGTAATTATCAGTCTTACCCATCTATGAACCTTGCATGCTACAATAATGGCTGGCCTAGCATGATATGCCCACTGGTGTAGTAGTGGCGTGAATGTTATAGGAGTAACTAAACACTTTCTGATTGACTTTAAGCCCTGCTCCACAAGATAGAACCCATACATGGCATTGAATCTGTGTATCACTTCGGGGTAGTATGGACATTCTAACAATATTTATTCTTCTAACCAATGAACATGGGGGTGCCTTTTTTAAATGTCCTCTTCAATTTCTTTCATCAGAACTTTGTAATTTTTAAAAAATAGTATGTCTTCCAAATATTTTTTGCATTATTACTTTAAAATATCTTATTAATTCACTGAGAATTTCATATCATGTACATTGATCATAGTCACTCTTGTCTCCCATCTCCTCCCAGAGCTGCCCCTACCTCCCTACCCACCCAACTGAATACTTTCTGATTGGTTTTAAGGCCCATTTCACAAGATGGGACCCATATCTAGTATCATTATTCATTACTGGGTTCAAGAACCTGTGTCCAGATAAGTCATAGATTCTAGGAGAGAATCTGCTGCTGTTATTCTGATAAATGAACATAGTATTAAACTTATCCCTAATGACACCACGATACCTATAGATTAGTGCATTGCTCAGACCTCATCAGAAAAATTTCTTTTTGCATTAGGTAATGATTAACATAGAAACCCACAACTGGTCATTGTGCAGAAAATAAGAGACTGAGTATTGCTTAGTCTTAAATGGGATATCTATATCACATCCTCTCAAGGCTCAGGGATAATCATAGACGAGGGGGTGGAAAGATTGTAAGAGCTGGAGGTGGTGAGTAACTACAATGAAACAGTGTTTTCTGGACACAACAGAGCAAAGTTGCACATGTGAAGTCACAGTAGTTGACAGTACACATAAGATGTGCACAAACTCAAGCCAGACAAAATCCCAGCATCGAGGGGGAAGGTATGCACTCAATTCCACCTCTTGCTGAGGAGTTAGTGGTGGTTCATAGAGTCAGTTTTCTCTAAGGGTGTGACCCCTGGTAGGTTGACCATGCCCGGGGGATATCCCACATCCAAGGTATATTTGGGCAACACTTGATGGGCTTTAAAAGAATTTTGTAATTTTTATTGCAGAGGTTTATCATTTCTTTGGTTAAATTTTGGGGTAACAATTATGAATCAGATTGCTATCTCTCTCTTTTCTTTTTAGCAAGTTTGCTATTAGTGTATTAAAGGATTTCTTTTACTTTTCTTTTTTTTGGTCTTTTTGAGACAGGGTCTCCCTGTAGTCCCAGCCGGCCTAGAACTCACTGAGATCCATCTGCCTCTGCCTCCCGAGTGCTGGGATTAAAGGCATATGCCATCATGCCAGGCAAAAGTAATTTCTGTATGCTAATTTTGTATCCTAAAACATTATAGAATTTTAAAGCCAGTTCTAACTCTTTTCTTATGTCTAGAATCTTTCTTTTCAACCCAAACAGAGGAGAAGCACAGCTGTTCTGTGCTGTTTATCCAGCCTGGAAATTACTTGAAGTTGAGATTTCTTTAGGAGATGCATGTTTTTATTATGATACATTTTGTGTGACAAATTTTGCTTGTTTGAACTTTATATGAACTTTTTATATCTAATTTTCTGTCTTTTTACCTTTCAGATAATACTGTTTATCAGTCAGTTGTGACCTACTTGTAAATTATTATGTGGAAATGTCACTGCCTTAAATTCACTAACTTAATTATGATTTATGATAGTTTGTACAATTGTACACTGTGATGTAGAAAATCTGGTAATACACAACTGATTTTGTTTTAATTTTTATCGGTATGTGCATTTGTTTATTTTTTTGATAGCTGTTTGATCTTATTTTGTAGATAAAGTTTGGTAGAATTTAAATGAAAAAATGTGTATCATGATCTGTAGTTGTTAAAAGAATGAAAGGATGTCAGGATGGAATGTATGGAAGGAATATCTTGTATAAAAGCCAGCATTAAACACCTGAAAATTACCCATGAAGTTCACTTGATTTTTCTGTTTCTTTTCTTTTCTTTCTTTCTTTTTTTAAGATATTAGCAAACTGACTGAAGATAAGAAAGAGGGCCTCAGGCAGCTTGCTTTGACATTTCAACATTTCATGAAGGAAGAATTACAAGACGCCTCTCAGCTGCCCCCGTCTTTTGACATTTTTGAAGCCTTTGCAAAAGTAAGTTTGAAGTTTCATCTCTTTGCTGTTGCTATAAATCAATCCTTTACCTTTTATTTTGTAGTTAGTTGCAAGTCCGGCTGGAGCCTTGCTAGGATATGTAAGAGTGTTAATGCCCTGTGTCCCTTCCCTATCTAAATGAGCAGGGAACGAGAGAGTTCAGTATTGTTTGTACTGGAAAGAATGTTACTTTTTCTTTTTATCAGTATTTTTATGTTGAGCCTGTTTATTATCAGCCCTGCAGATATCTTTTAGGAGTGTCTGCTTTCTTTTCTTAAAAGAAAACATGTATCTCATTACTTCTTACTAGAGGATTTTAGTTTTATTGTTACATTCACTGAGTTTTATGAATGTATAGCCTGTTTTTGAAGTGAAAGAAATCTGTTTGACTCTATTCTGATTAACTGACTTTTAAATAATATGAAAGCCAATTTCTGACTTAAAAATAGTTTTCTAAAGGAAAGATTGGCGAAATCCTAGGTTAAGGATAGAAAACAGGTTTTATTTAGTATTCCATCTGTGGTCCATTGGTAGGAGTTGCATGAAGTGTTCTGTGTGAAAATGGTTTTGAAAGTTTGTTTTGGCCTGGGCTTCAAGGGTGCAGAGATCCTGCTGGGAATGGCTGACTATGCCTGGCCCTCCCTGCACTGCCCTCCGTCTGCTGTATCTAACTTTTTGTACTTAATATTCAACACATTTTCCGTTTGAACATGACTTTGCTATTTATCTTGCAGTTTATAAAATATACATTTAATGATATTTATCCTACGATTATTTATTTTAAGGTATGCTTTCAAAACTACTGGTTTTGTAAGACTTTAAATGTGAATAGTTTGATTACTAGAGATTTATGCTAAGCTTTCTCCAAAGGTATTTTTATTCTTTAAAGTATGTTTTGTGATATTTTGATAATATAATCTTAGTGTTATATACTGGTTTGCTTATAATTTAAAGTTGATTAAAAAATATAACGGGTGCTTCTCGTTGTTTATTTAGTATCCTTCTGAAAAATTGTAGCCTATGGTAGCTCCATTTGTACAACACACATGGGCTCCTTTGATGGTAAATGCTGTAGAACACCAGCATATGTCATATGATAGCTGTGAGTTCATTTCTTGGGATAATTCTGTGGCTATTCTGTGGTGTTATTTTGGTTGTTGAAAAATCTTCAACAAGTCTAACTGATTCATGAAAAACATCTTAAAATATAACTAGATGCAAAATGTGAATTGATGCCTTATTTCTTCTGTTTATTGTTAAACAATTTTAATTTCTCTAATGAAAATCTAGACTGTCTAGTTTGTCTTATGAAAATCTTTCCATGCTGTATATGGGGAGCATTCTGCCATTGTGATGAAGTGGGTAATTTTTTGACAAATGTTTAATAATATTCTGCCCTCCTCCCCACATGCTTGTAGTTACTTTTGCTATGAGAGATCGCTGAGCTGGAACAGTGCTTTCCACACAGGCTTGAGAACCTGAGCTCCGTCCCCTGCACCCATGTAAAAGCTGTAGGTGGTGTGTATGCTGTTGTCAGAGCTAGGGAAATGGACATGGCTGAATCCTTCAGGCAGCTGTGAGTCCCAGGTTCCAGTTTATAGCCTGCCTCAAAAAGGTGGGTGGCTCATGTGGACTAACACCTGAGGTTGACCTCCGGCATCCACATACACATGCACATGCACAGGAACACACACTTCACACTCACACACATCTCACACACACATACACACACAGAGGAAAACATATCTATCATCAACATTTTGGAGACTAACTGGATTCAGATGTAGAACTTTTGTCTCAAAATATACTTTAGGGGCCTGGAGAGATGGCTCAGTTGTTAAGAGCACTGGCTGCTCTTGCAGAGGACCCGAGTTCGATTCTCAGCACCCACATAACAGCTAACAGCCACCTGTAACTCCAGTTACAGACATCCTTTTCTGACCTCCGTGGGCACTGCATGACTCAGATGCACTTAACATAGATGATAGGCATTACACTCATACACATAAATAAAAATAATAAATAAAATATTTTGAAAATGTACTTTGGTAGTCAGAGGAAGGCAATATTATTAACCTGTGGCTCCTGTACTTCCTTGTGAAAGGTTTGTTAGTATTTTGTCATTTGCATTCATTTTTCTGCTCATAAATTCATCTTTAAAGTAGATCCTGTCTTGCTCCTCCCTTCTTAGGAAAATTTTTGTAATTAAACTAATTTGTGTCCTTCAAACCACAGAGATGAGCTATGGAATCCGAAACGCTGTGATATATCACTTCAAGCACCTTGGAAATGGGTGGACAGCACTGGACAGAGCTTTTCACCAGTCTCCCTTTCTGTGTCCATTTTCTGGTCATAAAGTTAAGCAGAAAGAAGAAATGGGTGGCACCACAGACTGTAATCCCTATAGTGGCTGCTTCTGCATGCCATGTGCAAGCTGTCAGTCCAAGGGACTTCCTTGTGGCCCTGTTTTCCCTGGTCTATGAGGAAGTGACTTTACCTGGCCTCAACAAACAAGATTCTGTGTTCTGGTTGGCTTTTTGTTTCTTTCCTTTTTTTCCTTTAGATTCTCTGACAGCAGTAGGCTTGCTAAGCTTTTGGTTTAGCCTATGTCTTTATCATCAAAGACATACAGAATCCAGGAGGAAATCATGTTTATTCAAGTTGGGACCAGTTGATGACATGATGGCTAGTTCCTCAAGGCTCTGTCTTCTGGTGGCTTTCAATTCTGAACCCTCTTGAGTTTCCGATGGAAGAATGATGGATCTCTTCTGTTAGACCAGTTCTAGGATGCAGTGTACTTCTGCATCTTAAGTCTTCTTTTTCATCTGGGATTTACCTCCACTACCCAGAGACCTTTCTGTGTAGATGTTCCTGGGTTATGTTCCGGTCTTCTTCCTGTTCGCTCACTTCTTGGCATGAGTCTCAGTCTTCCTTTCATCCCCCACATAAACACTCACATGAGTGACAATTAGAGTTTTGATTCTGGGAGCTCTGATCTTTCATGAATTTGTTGCTTGGTTGTAAAATTAAATAGCATGAGGTCCATAGGAGTAGATTTCTTCCCCCAGTATGAATATCAAGGAGGCCCTCATGTCCGAAATAGAAATGGATCTGAATTGCAGAAGGGAAGATAGTTTGGGAGTTTGTATACAGTGGTTTAGGAATGCTGGTGGGTGCTGCAGTGGTGCTGATTCTTGCAACCACTGAGATTTAGGAAGACACACCGGCATCTATGGCAGAAGATTGAGAAGGGTTACCTGTGGATGCTAGGTTCAGTTATGTAATAGTTCTAGCCAGAGTTTGACTGAAAATTGATGTTTATAATAGTTGCATTGGTGGTGACCAAAACTGATGGGCTTCCCGAATTTCTGTGCAAGTGATCTGGTGGATGGATGGAGAGGCTCGAGACATTTGTGTACATATTTGTTTGTGTAGCAGTCATTTCTTTTCAAACTTAAGTTTTTCTGTTCCTCAAGAATATGTGTGTGAAGGAAATCAAACCGTGACATCTGACGATCAGGAAGTGGCTGGAGCTGTTTGATTGTGAGAACACAGAAGACATGAGGCCTAGCTTAACTCTGCTGGCTTTTTGGATTAGGAGAGGACGTGTGTCTGTCTCCGTAGAAGCCCTTCCCCTCCCCATGCCACCTTTTTCCTCTTCTACTTCTACCTCTTCACAAAGCTTCTGGTTAGGTTTTGAAATGGATTTGTCTTGGAAGGACAAGTCCTATGCTAAAGCCATCTTACCGAGTGTTCAACATTTGCTCCATACATATAGAAAATGTATCTACTACTAATTATGGCTAATAACTTATAAGATCAGAAAATTACAGTTACTGAGAGGACAACTTTAAATGGAGATGATGTAGTATGATAATTAAGTCATTTTCTCAAAACAAAAATGTGGAATTCTCTGCATTTGCTTGTCTGTAAGTAGGATTAATGCTGATATCAACTCCTTCATGGATAAAAGTGAGGACTAACTAGAAGGTGCTTTGTAGAGTCTCTGACACACATTATTAATTTCTACTACTGTGGTTCTACCTCCCTGCTTTATTGACATTTGAGTACAAAATGTCAGTGTTTTATGTCTCCCCACACTGTCATTTCACCTTGAGCACAGTCTGAGGCTGATTGTAAACTAGAGTTTCAGATGGGAGCTCACAGTGGTGCCCAGTGCTGTGGTCTCATGAGATGCTGAGAATTAACCTGTCCTGATGAGAAGTTTTGCAAACAGGAAATAGTATGTTTGCTCTAGTAAGCTGTTTTTGTTTCAGTCCACAGCTGTTGTGACAGAAATCTGCTTCTACCTGCCTCCACAGCAACTCCATGATTTCTGAGTCATTTCTGCTTTCTGTAGATAATGTACAAAGAAGGTGGTGAATGAACTCTCTCACACTTGTATCTGAAGAGGACAGAGTTAAATTCTAAGTGTATGAGTTACCATAATTTACTGAAATAGAATGGGGTGTATATAACACTTCTATATCCCCTTCAGCATAATTACTAGAAATGCTTGTGAATAGGCTAAAGTTAATTTCAGTGAACAGATTTTGAAGTTTTTTATTCATGCCTAGGAAAAAATTTTTAGGGATTAATACAGGATTCTAGAAAAAAGTTTTTTATCTTTCCTGGACTTGTAACTTTCTCACCTAAATATGAATTCTGACATGATAAGATCAGAGCAATAAAGTAGAAACTGGACTACTTGCATAAAATGTTTCAGAAACAGACGCTAAAGTGGAAGCAACAGAATAAAAATGGCCTTCCTGACCACAAAACGTGTCTTTGTTAGTGTTTCCAGAGCCCTGGGAGCTCTGTTTAATTTTATAGTGTTGTGCAACTGCCACAGTTTTTTGATTAGAAATTCCACATCTGTTTCAGAAGACGTTCCCTCCCTTTTTTCTTCAAACAAAATAAGACTTCTCTGGGTGGCATGCTATTTTTATTTCTTTTTGTGCACACATGTCACCCCTGTGCTTGCCTTCTAAAATGTAATT